AGATAAACATTTTTTAAAACTTTAACTGAAATCCACCTATCTGTAAATCTCAAAATACAGAAATGGGGTTTCTTAATATACAGCCTTTTTGAGCAAGAATCAGTATCAGTTCAAAGATCATTTCGGTTTGGCGCAATCTGTCTTTTGATTCAGGGCATAAACAAATTTTCAGTGGAAAATCTTGCAATTTTATGCATTGGTTTAATATATATTTAGTTATCTGATATAAAGAATTAATATTTATTAAAGTACTTCATGAAAGAACATCATGAAAAAAATCCCCCCTTTAGGTTATGACGAGGGTCGAGTCTAATTAAATACAAATTACAAAAATATCTTCACAAAACGTTATATTACATGCATATGTCAAACGAAGAAAATGAAGACGTCTATTGGAAGTACATGAAATCAAGAAAAAAATATTTTTGAAAGAAAATGTAAGTTTAATCTGTTTAACAGTAATATAAACCAAATGAACTTTTAAAATCAATAGCTTTAAAAACTGATTCTAAAACTATATATAAAATCTCAACATTCTACAAAGTTACAAAAATATAATAGCTTCGTGTTATCATCAAGTCTATAAAATGGAATCTTAGAATATTAAAAATGTGGATCGAGAGTAGGCTACATGAAAAGGGACAAAAGGGAATAAGTTGTTTTTATTGACAGTAATGACAAAAGCTTTTGGTATCTGTAGTTTAATGTTTGCATAACCAAGCTGTCTTTGAAATGTCCCAGTCCATTTGCAAATTACGCTAGAGAAAACCAGCTTGTCTAGACTGAAAAGCAAATTAATTTATGCCCCACATTCACGCAAAACTTAGAGCCTTAAGCGTAGTGCCTTGAACACAGTGTATGGGCAAGTATAAGAAAATATTAGAGAAGAAAAAAAAGAGAACGAAAACGAAGAGAAACAAGAAGACGAAGAAGAAACGACTAAATTAAAGGAACGAGAGGGTGTATACAAAAAGAGGGTAGAGTACAGGGGGAAAGGGGTTAGAAGTTTATCGCAATTACACCTAACAAGCGAACACAAATGCTAAGCTGAGGTTAGAAGATCCAAACATTAAATTTTTAATGTGCAGTCACTGTATCAAGAATTTATTAGTCATAGTAACATACGTCGATATCCAAGTAAGGGGTTAAGGAAAGAACACCGTACTACCTGAACAACAACGGCAACAGATTATTGATAAATAAATCATTTCTTTATGTCAATGGGTCTTATGATACCCGTTCTGTTACCATCCACAAAAGCCTTTCGATCAATGACTGGGTCAATTTTCTTCACTGATTCCAGTATATTGGTCATGGTCTGAAAGAAAACCTAGTGAGTAAGTCTGACAAAAATTGAAATGTTTTTGTCTAAACGCAATGTTTCAACGATCTGTTACTTCAAAAACTTAACAGATCCAGCAGACCAAGAAGCATCATCCTGGCAAACTTTCAACACTGACTTTCAAAATCAATGTAACCTTTTTTGCAGTCTCTAAATCATTAACCAATATTTAATTAACAAACTTCTTGGCTTATAAGTTCTTTGCAGAGTTTAAAACCTGAAAAGATGATATTACCTTGAAGCTTAATCTGGGTTAATTAGCATTAAAAGCGAATTAAACTGAAATGAAACTCACCTGTGAATCCCCATCAAATGCTGTTTTTCCCAATTCAGTATACATCTCCAATTTTTTCTGTATAAACTGAATCCTTTCTGATTCTTTCTTTTCCAGTTCCTGAGAAAATTAGTTGGATTTTAAAAGATATTAAGCTAGTATACACTTACGAAGATTATTCCATTCGCTAGCAAATTATCTTTTTAACAAAGATTTGCATCCTCTAACAAAATTCAATGCGCCAGGAATGTTAAATAATATCTAAATAGTCTATGACCCCATCAAGGCAACTTTTATCTTGCTGCAACTTGCAGAAAAGCCACAATGCTGAGGCATAACGCTTGCAGCCACAACACAATTCAAGATGAAAAATGGAGAATACACAAAGTTTGAAAGTACGTGATGCAAAACTACACGAACAAATGACTCTTCATAAAAAATGATTCTTCATAGAAAATGACTCTTCATTACAAAGAAACATGAGATAAAAAATACCAAACAGACAGGTCTTTATAGTTTTCAACATTCCGGCATAACATTTATCCCAAAAGAGTCACTGGCCAATTACGCTTAACCTAAAACCTTTACTGCAATGTCACAGTGCAACTTAGCAACACAATATACTGTATTACGTTAGTTGTATTTACTTCTCATTATACAAAATACAAATTAAAGGTTTACCATCAGGCCAAGGACTGTATCATCAATCCATTTTCTTTGTGCATCATTGAAATCGTCTATTGAGCGCTTCAGATCGTCAACTAGTAAGAAGAAGAAAATCTACTTAACATGACCGTAACAAACATTTCTATATTTTAAACCAATTTGAAAAACAATTGTAAATATTGAGTGAAATTGCTACACATGACTATCGGTTTAAAAAATTCTTAAATAACAGCAAAGTAATTAAATATAAACAGAATGGTATTGAGCAAATGTTGCAAAATATTTATGATAAACTACAAAAGATTTTACAAAATGAACTGTGTATTGATAAATATAGATTTAACTAAGGTGACTGCTGTTCTTAGGTTTCTGGAAATGGTTTTGGTCGTGCTACTAAGGATTAAAACAAAAAAATCATTTTTGGAAACAAATTCAATTAAATCTCTGTGCCTACTCAAGTTCTGAAGACTCTCTTTGCTGACAAAAGGAGCAATGTTTACAATTAACTAGAAACTAGAGTACTTTGATTCGGCTAAGCCCGGATGAAGAACAGAGATTTCAAGCTTCCAAAATTTCATTTAATTGCAAGACTTATACTGTCAATAGGCCGCTAGTTAGAAGCCTCTTAGGCAAATTCATACAACACGTAAATCAAAGGTAAACAGGAGACATCGAAACTCCCTTTATGAAAAAATACGATAATTAGTTGTCAAAGAACAATGAATCATGCCATTGCAGATGTTTACTGATGAAAGACATAAAAGCACGTTTGGAAGTAATAATGCCATATTTTAATGACGTAAAATTGCAAATAGTTTGCTAAGCAAAATAACAACAGCAGGGCATGAACGTGCAGATAATTACAAATTTCTATTTGTTCCGTTCTTTTCGCCAATGAAATGCTCGTTAATACTAATACTTAATTTCATTTGTCAAAGAAGCTAAGAAATGAGAATTTGCACATTACTTATATCATCAAAAGGTATTTGTTTAATTAGCATTAATTGCAAGCCCCTATACCCGAAACTTTTTTCCATTCTTGGAGAGCCCGCCAAAGCGGGCTCTGGGTGGACCGCCGGCCCGCGGCACGCCGAGCCAGTGGACCGCCGCCCGCGGCACGCCCACCCAGTGACCCGCAAAACCCCCCCAAGCCGAGATGCAAATTAGCAAAGAACGAACGCTCCCCACAAAACCCCTACACAAAACCCCAACACACGGCTTCGCCCGCCCGCAGGCGTGCCCCCCGCAAAGGCGTACCCCGCACAAAAGAGGCTCCCGCCAAAAGAGAGGCTGTGTCTGCTCCCCACGCAGAGCAGAGGCTGCGACAACCACGCCCTCTGCCATCACAAAATTTTTCCTCAAAAAAATGTGCAAAAAACACTCGCACTCCTGCAGAATTCAGCGCAAAAATCACTCGCGCTCCTACGCGATTTTTACTCGCACGACTGTCACAGGCGCTAGAGGGCGGGGAGAAGAGGGGAAAGAAAAGGGCCCCGCCCTCTAGCGCCTGTGACAGTCGTGCGAGTAAAAATCGCGTAGGAGCGCGAGTGATTTTTGCGCTGAATTCTGCAGGAGTGCGAGTGTTTTTTGCACATTTTTTTGAGGAAAAATTTTGTGATGGCAGAGGGCGTGGTTGTCGCAGCCTCTGCGTGGGAGCACGCCACAGCCTCTCTTTGGCGGGAGCCTCTTTTGTGCGGGGTCACGCCTTTGCGGGGGGCACGCCTCTGCGGGGGGCGAAGCCGTGTGTGTTGGGGTTTTGTGTGAGGGGGGTTTTGTGTGTTGGGCATGGCGTTAGTTCGTTCTTTGCTAATTTGCATCTCGGCTTGGGGGGGGTTTTGCGGGTCACTGGGTGGGCGTGCCGCGGGCGGCGGTCCACTGGCTCGGCGTGCTGCGGGCCGGCGGTCCACCCAGAGCCCGCTTTGGCGGGCTCTCCAAGAATGGAAAAAAGTTTCGGGTATAGGGGCTTGCAAGAACCCGCCTTGGCGGGTTCTTCAAGAAAGGCTAGTCTTCCTTCAATAAAAAGGCAAAAAATATCAATGACTATAAATAAGGACGTAGTTCAAAAGTTTAATTTATTGAGATGTATTTGGGCAAGGATCAAATGTTCTACTGTATGTGGTGAAGCGTATCGTATTTGGAAGTGATTATTTTGAAATGTAGGGAGAGTCTCTTGCAATTAAAATAATATTTATAATGAGACGATATTAATAAAAAATTATGATTGACACGTGTCTAGTGAGCAGAGTGGGCAGATATCTAGAGCTAATATCATTCACTCCAAGGTCTTGAGTGGCACTGCTCTTTCATTTATAATGAGGGATAATAAATATGGTTGCTTTGTACGTTCCTAGTGCCAAGATATCTAGAGCAAAAGTAATTTTCGCGCGATTTGCTGCGGAGTATTGTTTTGGCGTTTGCAAAGTGCCCATACATTTTGAGGGAGTTTTTAGAGAGGGTGGTTTATTACTTAGAATGCCATCGTTTGTTTTTTAAACGTGGGGAATATCTGCAATATTTCTTTGTTTTATGCTTCCTTAAGAAGTAACTATTTTTCTTCAGGAAGGCATTTTTTATTTTTGATTAGATGAATGATCTTTAGGAGAGCTTTCTTGTTAATGACTTTGCCAATCTTTTATGGTTTAAACAAACTTTGAAATATATGCTGTAGGAGCTTCCAATTTCTTAATAGAGGACTGAGAATTTTGGCTACTGGTATCGCCATTATTTTTTATTCCAAAGGGAGTCTGAAGTTGTTTTGCAAAATGGTGGTGAGTTTAAAAATTGGCAATTGTCTGTTCGAAAGGACAATATTTTATATTTCCCCTTCATAGGTTTTGACCATGACTAAATTGGATTAATAGTAGTATTTTTTCGTAAGGGCACTAATTTCATATTTCGGGGACCTCGTTTGGCATCAGGTGAAAAATGTGGGAGGACTTTTTTCAAATAAAGCCTGGTTTGAAAACCTCTCTTGATGCAACTTTTGGTATTGATGATGTTATATTTAAAAAATGAAATTTCTAGAACCTCTTCTAATATTTTATATTCCCCCCTCATAGGTTTTGACCATGACTAAATTGCTACTCGATACTGGATGTATGAGATGAATCTAAATTCCTATGCTTCGTCGCGTAGCCTAATTATTGGGTTTAATGTGGGAGGCTTATAACTGTACGGATTATAAGTAGGTGAATGCTCAAAGCCTCGGTCTATAAATGAATTTTGCCAAATAACTATATTTGAGATGTTGTAAATGAGCAATTGATTGACATGTCTCTAGTGAGCCAAGTGCCCAGATATCTGGACCTAATATCATTCACTGCAAGGGCCTGGGTTCCATTGTTTCCTCATGTATAATGAGCAATAATAAATGTAGCGGCTTTGTCTGTACCAAGAGCCCAGATATCTGGACCTAGTGTCAATCACTGCATGGGCCTGAATAGCATTGTTTCCTTATTCATAATGAGCAATAAGAGATATAATGACTAAGTCTGTGCCAAGTGCCCAGATATCTGGACCTAATATCATTCACTGCAAGGGCCTGGGTTGCATTGTTTCCTTATGTATAATGAGCAATAATAAATGTAACGGCTTTGTCTGTGCCAAGAGCCCAGATATCTGGACCTTATGTCATTCACTGCAAGGGCCTGGGTTGCATTGTTTCCTCAGGTATAATGAGCAATAATAAATGTAACGGCTTTGTCTGTGCCAAGAGCCCAGATATCTGGACCTAATGTCATTCACTGCAAGGGCCTGGGTTGCATTGTTTCCTCATGTATAATGAGCAATAATAAATGCCGTCTATTAATTTTTTTTGCTCAAAACAACGGCGGGGCAAGCTATGACGTAGCAAATTTAGAAAATCGAAAAGGTTGTCTTTCCACGGTGGAGCTTTGCAGAAGGAACGATTAATGGGTACCTAACTATCGCTAACGACCTGCATTGACAATCAAGTTGACGCTTAATGATCTCGCCTGAATTCTATAGATTGATAACGAAGTGAAACATCCTTCATCCTTTGCAATCAAACTAAACGAAATTGAAAAGATAGGCTTCCAATTTGTTTTTGAAACGAATAAGAATGTTTTTTCGAACATAAGAATGCTGTCAACAGATTTATAATGCGTAAAACAACGGCGGGGTAAGCTATGACGCAGCAAGTTTAGCAAATCAAAAAAGTTGGTTTTCCTCCGCGGAGCTTTGCAGAAGGAAAGGTTAATGAGTACCTAAGTACCGCTAACGACCCGCACTGACAATCAAATTGGCGCTTAATGATCTCGCATCGATGCTATAGTTTTATCATGAAGGGAAACATCCTGAATCGTCCGCAACCAAAACAAACTTTTTGTAAACTTTCATTTTCGAAAATTTCGGCATTTTCACGTCCGTGTTAACTTCAAACGTATGTTTTGGAATGCTCAGTGTCCTTTAGTGCTGAGTCCATGCGAATAGGAGTTTCTTGTAATTCTTCGCGAGCGGCCAATGCTTTGCTGTCTAATCGGAGGTCGCGGGGCTCGTACCCCCACACGGACAGGATTTTTGCCAAGTTTGTCGTTTAAGCTGCTCTTGTCGATGCTAAACTGTCCATTTTAGCTAGGGTTTTTCGCGTTTAGTTTGCTTTCATTTAAATCACAGAGCCCTTTTGAAAATCACGGAGTTTTTTGGCGGTTTGACATTTATTTTTTCGAGTTCAACACGTAAACAAAGACACATCAAGATGGCAAAACGAACACGTGATAGAACGCGTACAGATAAAATCGAGCATGATAAGCATGAGCGCCTAGTTTAAACAATGCGATCGCATTCTTAGCACCGATAACGATCAAACTTCGACCAATCACGGTCGAGCCAGGGCTCTAACACAAAGGATTCGTACAGTGATGTACTGTACATCGATGTACAGGCGATAATCATGACAATCATAACTTTTGCTCGTACGATGCTGAGTTTTTGGGAGAAAGGTGTCGCATTCGACCGGTTCTGATTCCCAAAATTTCGAATCGAAGCTTCCATCCAGAAGGGAGAAGCGAGCCGTGACGCAGCACCGTTTTCTGGTGCCAAAAAATCGACGGTGATTAGCAGAGCCTTGGCAGAGCAACTCTGCGGAGATAATTGCCCTCCGCACAAAGAGGTGGCGGTTAACGACCCACGCGACAAAGCCTAACACGCTTAACGACCCGATGTAACCTTTTCTCTGGAGAGGCAATCAGGTCCGCAAGCAAGGCAACTTCCGCCGAAAAAAAGTTTGTTTCGAGGAGTTTTAGGCAGGAAAGCCGACTCAGATCGAAACGAAAAAGCGATTCCCGCACTGTTCGGGCCAGCCGGGCCAGCCGGAAGAGGAGGGCGCAGGACGGGGAGGAGGGATCTAGGAGGCTATTTTAACAGGCGATTTGTGACCGTCCGACCGCGGGCAGCAGAGCTTGCCCTGATTTGAATTTAGGCATATTAGTATATAG